CTTATTTTGCATAACAAACCCTTCCTATTTTTATTATAATCAAGCTGTGTTTTTTGTTAAAGCATATTCAAGTATCAAGAATCATTTACCTACATTTGATTGATTTTGCTAACTTATAACTTACCTTATGAGGCGATATACCTCTAGTGAGGGCCCCAGACCTTTGCATATTTTTCTGTGTGACCCTCAGTGGAAAAAGTTTGGAACCCCGTGATCTTTAAAGAAGTTTGTGCCAATAACCATTTTGTGAATTGTGACACATGTATTATGTTGCGTTTCACTTCAATTATGTTTTTGATGATGGTATTCCCACACCACAACAGCATGGCTGAGTCTTGTACTGTGCTCTAACCTGAGAGTCTTCAGTTCACAGTGTGGACTCTTCAGTCCAGCGGACAGCAGCTTCACTCCTGAATCCTGCAGGTCGTTGTTACTCAGGTCCAGATCTCTCAGACTAGAGGACTGGGAGCTGAGGACTGAGGACAGAGCTTCACAGCTTCTCTCTGACAGGTTACAGCCACTCAGCCTGAAGAGACGATGAGGACAACCATTATTCAGAAGACAGCAGTGTATTAATAACTGATTCACTAAATCAAATGATCTCTGTACTTACAGAGCTTTGTTGGAGGCTTTGACCACTGGCAGCAGCCTCAGAAGAGCCTCCTCTGAAGCAGAGTATTTCTTCAGGTCAAACACGTCCAGATCTTTTCCTGATGAGAGTAAGATGAAGACCAGAGCTGACCACTGAGCAGGAGACAGATTATCTGTGGAGAGACTTCCTGAACTCAAGGACTGTTGGATCTGCTCCACAAGAGAACGATCATCCAGTTCATTCAGACAGTGGAACAGGTTGATGCTTCTCTCTGCAGACAGATCCTCTTCTATCCTCTTCTTGATGTACTGGACTGTTTTCTTGTTGATCTCTGAGCCACTTCCTGTCTGTGTCAGTAGGCCTCGTAGGAGTTTCTGATTGGTCTGCAGTGAAAGACCCAGGAAAGAAGCGGAGGAACAAGTCCAGGTGTCCGTTTGGACTCTGTAAGGCCTGGTCCACAGCACTCTGGTAGAGATGTGTTAGTTCAGGTTTGACTTTAGACTTCTGGGAGGTTGTTGGTTCTTCTGCCAGCAGGTTGACTCCAGAGTTGATGAAGATCAGATGGACATGAAGAGCAGCCAGAAACTCCTGAACGCTCAGATGGACGAAGCAGAACACCTTGTCCTGGTACAGTCCACTCTCCTCTCTAAAGACCTGTGTGAACACTCCTGAGTACACTGAGGCTGCTCTGATATCGATGTCACACTCTGTCAGGTCGGACTCATAGAAGATCAGGTTGCCTTTCTGCAGCTGCTCAAAAGCCAGTTTCCCCAGAGACTCCATCATCTTCCTGCTCTCTGGACTCCAGTGTGGATCTGTCTCAGCTCCTCCATCATACTTGATGTTCTTCACTTTGGACTGAACCACCAGGAAGTGGATGTACATCTCAGTCAGGGTCTTGGGCAGCTCTCCTCCCTCTCTGGTTTTCAACACCTCCTCCAGAACTGAAGCAGAGATCCAGCAGAAGACTGGGATGTGGCACATGATGTGGAGGCTTCGTGAGGTCTTGATGTGGGAGATGATGGTGCGGGCCTGCTTCTGATCTCTGAATCTCTTCCTGAAGTACTCCTCCTTCTGTGGGTCAGTGAACCCTCGGACCTCTGTCACCATGTCCACACACTCAGGAGGGATCTGATTGGCTGCTGCAGGTCGTGTGGTTATCCAGAGGCGAGCAGAGGAAAGCAGCTTCCCCCTGATGAGGTTTGTCAGCAGCACATCCACTGAGGTGGACTCTGTGACGTCAGTCAGGATCTCAGTGTTGTGGAAGTCCAGAGGAAGTCGACACTCATCCAGACCGTCAAAGATGAACACAACCGGGAACTGATCAAACCTGCAGATTCCTGCGTCTCTGGTTTCAGAGAAGAAGTGATGAACAAGTTCCACCAAGCTGTACTTGTTCCCTCTCACCACATTCAGCTCTCTGAAGGTGAATGGAAATATGAACTGGATGTCCTGGTTGGCTTTGCCTTCAGCCCAGTCCAGAGTGAACTTCTGTGTTAAGACTGTTTTCCCGATGCCAGCCACGCCCTTTGTCATCACTGCTCTGATTGGTGCATCTCTTCCAGGTGAGGCTTTAAAGAGGTCTTCTTGTCTGATGGTTGTTTCTGGTCTGTCTGGTTTCCTGGATGCTGTTTCAATCTGTCTGACCTCATGTTGATCATTGACCTCTGCAGACCCCCCCTCTGTGATGTAGAGCTCTGTGTAGATCTGGTTCAGAAGGGTTGGGTTTCCTGCTTTAGCAATGCCCTCAAACACACACTGGAACCTCTCCTTCAGGGTGGATTTGAGTTTACGCTGACACTCTGCAGTAATTAGTCCTGAAAGTACACACAACAAAAGATCATCTGGTCACACTGTAACTCTGGTTCTCTGAATAAAATATGGATATATGTTGGTCCCTTGAGACATCAGCAGATGAGACATTTATCCAGAGTGTTAAATCTTTATAGAAACCCTCTTACTGCTCTGCAGACGGTCAGCCAGCTCCTCCTGCTCCATGCTCCTCAGGAAGTTCAGTGTGATGTTCAGAAATGCCTCTCTGCTCCTCCTCTGCTCTTCATCCTCAGCCTCCAACACCTCCTCATCCTCACTCTGACTCTCTAAGCCTTCTGGGTAATCTGAACTCAGAGCCTTCTGGAACTTCTTCAGCTCGCTCTTCACAAAGGTGACGATGTGGTCCTCCAGCAGCTGGAACATCACATGAACGACACAAACTATAAACCATGGATCCAAACATCAGATCCGGACAGACTGACTCTCTAAAAGTGCAGCATGGAGATGACTGTGAACAGAAGAGAGGTAAAGTATCTGTAGTACATGTACTCACCGTAAATATGGAGTCCAGCTGTGTCTGATGCTGCTGGGCAGACTGACCACCGGGAACCTCCGAGCTCTCCTGGTCCCCTCTGTGGAGGAATCATGAAGCATTAGCTCACATTATGTCTGTCCACACAGAGACACACTCAGGGTAAAGGAGGACAGGGGAACAGGCTGGTGGTCCTGTGCGTCAGCGGGAACTTTGCACTACAGGAATATTTATTTCCAGCTACTGTTGAAGACCAGAGGATTCTGTCCATCCTTCATTCTGGTCTTCCTGAAACGTGGCTGTGTGGATAGATACTGGACTCTGCAGCTGGCTAACAGCTGTTCATCAGGAAAAGGAAAGACCTAGGGACAGTTCTTACACCAGCCCCCGTTACCCCCCCAGCTCCACCTCCAGCACATAGCAGGGGTCAGGGTTCACCTGGCAGTAGAGCTGGTTGTGACTTTGATGAAGGCTCAGTATCCTCCATCAGAAGTGTTTGTGAGATGGTGGAACAGCTTCTGAACTGCCTGAGTTTTCAGATGGAGTTTCACTGCCCTTCCCAGTGTGGACGTTCACAACTAAACACTTTGGACATGAGGAGGGGTCTGACGAGACTTTAAACAAACTGGTTTTATTCTCTCATAACCGGACTCTTACTATGAGTTACAGCTTACTTCTGATCAGCAGATGGAGGTCGTCCTTTAAAGTTCATGAAGTCGTCCTTCGAGGAGTTGCTCTTTAGGGACAGACAGCTGGGAGAGTCTGGTCTCTGCTGCTGGACCCTGAAACAGAAACAGATCAAACATTTGCGTAAATACCTTTTGTTTTGTTTTGTTTTATTTCATTCAGTAGTTTGCTCATATATACCAGCTACTTTTTGAAAGAATATTTTAAAAAATATGATCAAAAGGGTGGAATGTAATGGAACATTTTATTTGATCATTCAAAGTTCACCATTATGTTCTTCTTGATAAGCTATTTCTTAGAAAATGACTCAAAGTCAGCAGTTAAGATAACCTCTATCTATTGTGAAAGGTTGATGACCTTTAACCTCTGAGGAATGTAGACATTATGGCTCTCCATGCAGCAAGCAGATGTCTCCTGGACATCTTGACCACTCCCCTTCTTCCTTTTGTGTCTGATTTTGTGAATATAAGACCCTTTGCAAATCTCCTGACTTTTGTACTTCACTGCAGACTGCTTGACACTCTGTAACGTTTTACCTTCTTGCAAGAATAAACTCTTATTTCAAGAATTTTCATTTCAGTATAACGGAAAGGTTTCCTCACCATTTTATTATTATTATTTGTTTGTCCATATTTTGGACAAGACTTTATACTGACTAGTTTTATTCTATCATAACCGGACTCTTACTATGAGTTACAGCTTACTTCTGATCAGCAGATGGACGTCGTCCTTTAAAGTTTATGAAGTCGTCCTTCGACCGGTCGCTCTTGAAGGACAGACAGCTGGGAGTGTCTGGTCTCTGCTGCTGGACCCTGAAACAGAAACAGATGCAGACATTGGCTTGCCTTCACTTCATACCCACTAGTTTGATCTAAGGTTAAGTTTAGGGAATGTGGGACTTAAGAGAAGACTCCATTGCAGTAGTCCAGGGAGATGATGAATGCTTGAATAAGGGTTTCTGCCACCGGGTCGGAGGTGAGGGCCGTATTGTTGATATGTTTTTTATGTGGAAGAAGGGGGGTTTTGTAATGGACCAGATGTGGGAGTTGAAAGACAGGGTGGAGTCCAGAATAACACCCAGGTTGCGGGCTTCAGGGGAGGGTGGATGGTGCAGCCATCAAGAACTAGGAAGAGATCTCCAAGCTTCCAGAGTAGTTCTTCAGGGACAACCACTACGAGCTCGGTCTTGTTGCTGTTGAGTTTGAGGAGGTTACTAGATATCCAGGTTTTATGTTGCGGAGGAAATTGACTTGTGAGAGGGGAGGGGGCTGAGTGGATGGGTCAGTGATGATATGGATTTGGGGGTCGTGGGCGTAGGAATGAAAATTGAGACCGTGTTGGCGGTTGATTTGACCAAGGGGGAGCATGTAGATGGTGAAGAGAAGAGGGCCAAGCACTGAGCATTGCGGCACGCCTTGGTTGACTGGGGCTGGAGGGGAGCTGGAGTTTCTGATGGTGACAAACTGTTACCTGTTGGAAAGGTATGAGTGGAACCAGGATAGAGCTGTACTCGTAAAGCCAAGGTAGTTGGATAGGTGGTGGAACAGGATGGTATGGGAGATGGGGTCAAAAGCTGTAGACATGTCTAGGAGGATGAGGATACAGATGTGGCCTAAATACACATAATGCAGCTAAAAGTGTTGAAGGGCAATGATAAAACAGAGTGAGATGATCTCTGGATAGTGTGACGACCCCTCCACACCACGTGGGGTGCCGTCTGGTTGTGTGTGTGTGATTGCAGGTGCCTGGGTGCCTGACGAGCTGCACCTGCCTGACGAGCTACATCTGCCTGATGAGCTACACCTGCCGGAAGCATTTAAGAGGAGTCCAGCCGGTTACGTCGCTCTCTCACTCCTCTGGGCACTCTCTCCGGGCCAGCCTCGGGGATCTGTTGCTGGTGCCGCGTCTTCAACTTCGTGTATTTATAATAAACGTCTTTGTTATTCATATCCCTCGTCTCGCCTCCCCGATTTATGTTGCAGCCCAGGAGCCGGGTTGTAACATATGGGGGCTCATGGTTGAACCTGGTCGTTTCGGAGGTTAGTTTCGAAAATGGACTCTGTTGTTTTGTGAACGGAGGGGAATTAACACACAGCTGTAGCGGGTTACGGCAGGGGACCGTGATGGAGCGCGCAGCTGTTTGTTTGGGAGTAGCTTTGACGAGGGTAAGTGAATGTAGTAAGGCAGCTGGTTGTTTGGAATGCGAATTAGGTGTGGTGCACTGAGTATTTGTTCACGGCAGTCACGTACCGTTGGTCTTGTCCCTGTTAGGCTTCAGTACGGTCTCCCTTGGAGGTCGTAGGGGGGCTGTTAGTGTGGTGTGAAAGTGGTTGGAGCTATTAGCTCGGGAACACGCCGAGGCTGCAGGTGGAGTTGCCGGTTTGCTGGTCGCTTCGCCGAGCTTACGGAATTAAGTGCATAAGTACCCGCCATAACTAGCACCTGAAGACTAGGGGGGAGTTTAGCTAGTTTCTGTGAGGCAGTTAGAGGGACGGGCCGCGGTGACGTGTAGGCTGTGTAATTAGCGTGAGCGTGCCACGCAGTGTTGTCATCATGGGGAGTGTAGAGGAGTTTTTGAGAGCGCCTTCGGAGGAGCTTCTAGAGGGTCTTTCACGTGAGCAGCTGATCTATGTTGCTGAACATTTCCGCTTGGATGTTGGGGATAAAAGAATGAAGGACAATATGAGGGAGATTGTTAGAGCAAATCTGTTTGAGGAAGGTGCTTTCAGAGGGGAAAAGGTTACGGTGGGTCCTAGCAGGGACAGTATCAGTGCGGCTGGCTGCCGTGATGGAGGCCTGACGTTTGAGCAAAGAGAGAGACTGTTGCTGTTGCAGTTAGAAATTAAAAAACTTGAGTTAGAGGAGCGGAGGTTGAGTTTAACTGCTGGAGGGCCCAGCCGTGCCTTTGATTTCTCTGGTAGAGACGTTGCAGGTAATCTGCGGGTTGTGCCTCAGTTCAGTGAACAAGATCCAGATACTTTTTTCTCCCTATTTGAGCGTGTGGCTGAGAGCAGAGAGTGGTCGGATGCTAATAGTACCTTGTTGCTACAGTGTGTGCTAACAGGTAGGGCCCAGGAAGCTTATTGTGCTCTAACGGTGGCAGATAGCAAAGTGTATTTAACTGTTAAAACTGCTGTGTTGAAGGCTTACGAGTTAGTCCCTGAGGCCTATCGCCAGAGGTTTCGGTCCTGGGAGATGTCTAGCAGACAGACACATGTTGAGTTTGCCAGGGATCTGGTTACCTCTTTCGGTAGGTGGTGTAACTCTTTAAAGGTGGATACATATGTTGCATTATGTGAGTTGATGGTGTTGGAGCAATTTAAAAAGTCTGTGCCCAGCCACATTGCGGTTTACATCAGCGAGCGTAAGGTGAAAACTGTGCGGAGGCTACTGCTCTGGCTGATGACTATGTGCTAACGCACAGGGGCGGTCGCGACTTCCGGGTCCAGGAGGAAGATATTGCACACTTGGGTAATGCTGAACGTGCGATGAGAGGTCGGCCACGGGTTGAGCCGTCGGAAATCTGTCATTTCTGCAGGGAGAGAGGGCATTGGAAAGCTGACTGTCCAAAAGCTAAGGCTAGCAGGGGGAACTGTGTAGGCCAGTTTAACCCTGCTGCTTGTGCTGTGTCTGTGGTACCCTTACCTGTCATCTCTCCCTGTCAGCAGGTTAGCGAGCCATGCGGGTTGAAGGAACCACTGTTTTCTGCATTTTTGTCAACCGGATACGTGTCATTGGTGGGAAGTGACAACAGCATACCAGTAAAGATTTTGAGAGACACAGCATCGTTTGATTCATACATTCTAAGCTCTGTGCTACCGTTTTCTGAAGAGTCTAGAACTGGGGACTTTGTCCTGCTGCGAGGTATGGGAATCAGTGTTGTGCCTGTTCCTCTGCATTCTGTTGTGCTTTTTTCTGGTTTGGTGCAGGGTGAGGTCGCCATGGGGGTCCGTCCTGTAATGTAGATTGAAGGTGTGGATGTTATCCTGGGTAACGGCCTGGCTGGCAGCCGTATGTGGGCTGAGGGTCCACCGCCTGCCATAGTGTCATCTTCACCCACGGTGACTGTTAACCCAGAGGAGGATGCTAAGTGCTCCCCTGGAGTGTTTGTGGCTGGCGCTGTAACACGGGATGTGAGCCGTGCACAGGGGGAGTCTGAGCAGGGTGAAGAGGTGGGTGAGATAGATTCTGTGGTTGTTCCTGACTCATTGTTGTCTGTATCCCGCAGTGAATTGGTGGTAGAGCAGAAAGATGATGTCTCCCTCAGTCCGTTCTTTGAGGCGGTTCTCTCCACCGAGGGTGGAAATGGTGTCACCGGGGGTTGTCTGCTGCAAGGGGGACTGCTGGTCAGAAAGTGGTTGTCACATGGGAAAGGCCTCATTGGTAAGCCAGTTCTCCAGATTGTGGTTCCTGTAAACTTTCGTGAGGAGGTCCTCAGGAAAGCATATAAGCAATCGGGACATCTGGGTGTCCGTAAAACATGTAATTACATGTTGCGGTATTTCTTTTGGCCTGGTTTAAAGAGAGATGTGTCTCGGCCTGTTAAGGCGAGACACGGCAGGCAAAAACATCGTTTTTCATGCACTGGTCAATTTTGAGATTTTGTGCTATTTTGATTCCACAACATGTTTTCTTTCAGGCTTTTGGAAGGAAAACGTACAAAATGCACATGTAGGTGTTTATTTTACTATAGTTTGTCTATTTGCGTCTGTAGATTTCTCCTAAATTCACCAAAAGTTAGCATTCTAACGTAACATAAAGTACCGCGACCGCTGTTTGCACCATGTCATCAGAGATATCGTTGGAAAGCTCCGTCTCTCCTGCACAATCTCATCGGATCCAAATATGGTCATTTCCTTTGTATCAGCAACCAATCGTGAAAGTACAAAGGGGTCTTCAACCAAGAAACGAAATCTCATTGGCTGGTGTCAATTTCTGACAACGTGATTCGTTCAGATGCATCACGTGGTGTGCTAAAACACTTCCTGGTTAGCTTTCCGCTAGAAATTTAAATCTCAAAATGGCAAAAGAACGGCGAAAAAAACGTTCACAGAGAAGACGACAACAATTGTCACTTGCACAAAGCAAGGTTATACAAAAAACAAATGACCCCGAACATGAAATACCTTCACGGAGTGCGTCGATGCGCAAGCTGTCATCCAAAGAACAGGAGGGTTTAGCTAGCGCCACACTGCAATCTTTAAAGGTCGTTTTCTCAAAATGAGTTTTTTCTCCTACTCTGAGTTCGACATTTCCACTTCAGTAGCACGTACACACACCAAACCTTCCAGTTATATTCCTATCAATATTATGAAGGCTTTTACAGAAGGGTTTGTTCATATATCATTCATAGCCTGAATTATATAACATTTTATACCTAAAAACATGGCGGAAATTGATATTTTAGGGCTGTTTTCAGTATTTTCTGATAAAAGAGATAAGCCTTAGATACTAATATGACTACAAAATGAAACAAGAATTTTGAACCTGGCTTTATCCAAAGTTCAGATTTCGGTTCCTGAAATGTGTTAAAATATGCGCATATTTAATGAGATAATGGTTCATTTGCATATTTAAACATGCTATTTCAGAAAACTTGTAATACAAAAAACAATTGCCTTATTGTAAGTAATTAACTGGAGAAATCTCTTTACAAAATGCACTTTTGTACGTCTTTTATACATGAATATGTGTCCCCGGTGTTCCAGGGAACTCACCAAGTGTCAGAAAACACAACCCTCTCTATTTTCCTCCATACCCAAATCTCTAAAAAAGGGGCTGCAACGGATCTGATACAGACTGATCCAGATTTGAACACTGTCCTGACGTCAGGACAGTGGCGCTACGGCTATTGGGCCAACTCCACCAATCAGGAGGAGACAGCCACGGCCATTGCCGTTCGAAAGCGCTGGAGAGTAGTACATATGCCAGGCCAGTAGATGGTGCTGTTCTCACAGAATCAGCCCTTGCAAAAACAGGGTTAAAAAAGTGGAAATTGAGCGAAATGAGGCATGGCTAAAATGCATGATCTGTTTGGTATTTTGAAAAAAAAAAAGTATAAATATGCCTTATATAGGTATGGTCCTACACTATATTATTATAATATAGCATGATAGGTCCACTTTAAGTTAAAAAAATTACCCTATTCACCTGGGGTGTCTCGCCTTAAATCATGTCACACGGGTCAGAAAAGTAAGCCAATTCGGCAGCGACTAAACGAACAGCGCTCGTTTAGTCCTGGGGGTCAGGTCCTGGTTTTGTTGCCAAGGGCTAGTTTGCCATTACTAGAAAAACATTCCGGGTTTTTCCATGTGTTGGCTCAAGGGACTGGCCAGAATTGTTTCCTGTCCGCACCGAAGCATAGAAGAAGAGCTCCTAGTTTGTTCGGGTTTACCTGACGGGACTGTGCTGTTTGCTCTGGTCTTTTAGATCTACTCTGTCCCTCTTAAATCGCTTCTTCAGGCGCTGGAGTTGCTGGGTCGGCAGGGGAGGTTTGTTGGCTGGTACAGAAAGGAGCATAGACGTCAGTCTGGAGTTTTGAAGGCTAAGGTAGCTGTATTGTTTTGGTGGGAAGAGGGTCCTGTTGGGTAGTAATGGTGTTCTTAGTGGAACTTTTTTCTTATGGGGGGGAGTGTGACGACCCCTCCACACCACGTGGGGTGCCGTCTGGTTGTGTGTGTGTGTGATTGCAGGTGCCTGGGTGCCTGACGAGCTGCACCTGCCTGACGAGCTGCATCTGCCTGACGAGCTGCACCTACCTGACGAGCTGCACCTGCCTGACGAGCTGCACCTGCCTGACGAGCTGCACCTGCCGGAAGCATTTAAGAGGAGTCCAGCCGGTTACGTCGCTCTCTCACTCCTCTGGGCACTCTCTCAGTGCCAGCCTCGGGGATCTGTTGCTGGCTTCAACTTTGTGTATTTATAATAAACGTCTTTGTTATTCATACCCCTCGTCTCGCCTCCCCGCTTTATGTTGCAGCCCAGGAGCCGGGTTGTAACAATAGGCAGCACTAAAGAGAAAGATTTTACACTCGATTTAAAGAACTCAGGGTGGGGGGGACCTCAGATCTCAGGAAGTTTGTTCCAGATCTGCGGAGCATAGAAGCTGCCTCAGTGAATTTGGTTCTGACCCTGTGGACGATGAGTAAACCTGCCCCGATGATCTGAGAGCTCTGGGTGGCTCGTTACAGAGCAGCATATCAGACATGTATTCTGGTCCCAATCCATTGAGTGCTTTGTGAGTTAAAAGTACGATTTTAAAGTGTGTTCTTTGTGGTATTGGAAGCCAGTGCAGAGCTTTGAGAGCTGGGGTGATGAGCTCAGTTCCTCTGGTTTTGATGAGGACTCTGGTGGCAGCGTTCTGGATGAGTTGTAGTAAAACACTGTTGCAGTAATCAAGTCTGCTTCTATCATAACCGGACTCTTACTATGAGTTACAGCTTACCTCTGATCAGCAGATGGAGGTCGTCCTTTAAAGTCTATGATGTTGTCCTTGGACCGGTCGCTCTTGAAGGACAGACAGCTTGGAGAGTCTGGTCTCTGCTGCTGGACCCTGAAACAGAAACAGATGCATACATTGGCATGCTGGAGAAAACTAATTTAAAATATGTTAAATGTCTTAAAGTCACTATATTTAACGATGTAATGGTAATAACGCTCTGTGTTGCTAATGTGTGAACAGATCGTAATGACATTTTAAAACTGGGACATCAACACATATTATTGAGTGTTCTGCTATCTGTACAATTATATTTCATGCACTTAAGTGACTTGTGTGCAATGTTAATGTTGTTTAAGCTATCTGATGGTGACAGTAATATTAGAGGAAAGTAAGAAGTCTTAGATAAATGCTGTGAAACGAAAAAGTGTTTGGACTCTACTAAAGAAGCTTTGCATGTTTTCCACTTGCTGTACTTTTGGTAATGCAATTGACTAGAGTAAAGTTCTCGGTGAGGAAACACCGCTCTCACTCTCCTGATTATTTGTCCCATTTATCAGGCCGTAAAACATGCTGGAGAAAAACTGCTGAAAAATAAGTTGGACAAGACTTCATATCAACTAGTTTTATTCTATCATAACCAGACTCTTATTATGAGTTACAGCTTACTTCTGATCAGCAGATGGAGGTCGTCCTTTAAAGTCTAAGAAGTCTTCCTTCGAGGAGTCGCTCTTTAGGGACAGACAGCTGGGAGAGTCTGGTCTCTGCTGCTGGACCCTGAAACAGAAACAGATGCATCAAGAGAAGAAGAAGGAGCTCTTCATCGTCCCACAGAGGTGAAATGTACATTCTGCATTTGATCCATCCTAGTGTTAGGAGTAGTGGGCTGCCATATGTACGGCGCCCGGGGAGCAGTGTAGGGAACGCTGCCTTGCTCAGGGACACCTGGGTAGCACTTGGTCTTCCGGGGTCTTGAACCGGTGACTCTCTGGTTCCCAAGCCAAGTCCCTACGGACTTTGCCACCACCGCCCACACATTGAACCGCTGGAGAAAAACTGATGAAAATATGTTAAATCTAAAGTCACTCTTTACAATGTAATGGTATAAATCGCTCTGTGTTGCCCAACAGATGAACCTTCCAGACTTTCTGAGTGTCCTCTATCAGCCGGTGGACTGCTCTCTATGTGAAGGACTCGGGAAGATTTTCAGAGAAAATCCTAAAGACGTGAAGTTTATCTACAAAGTGCCTCTCGTCTCTTCAGCTGCCCTACAGCCAGCAGTGTGAAGCTAACGTAAACACATCTCTTTAGTGCAGGGGTGCCCAACCAGTCGATCGCGATCGACCGATCGATTGTGGGGAGATTCCCAGTCGATCGCGAGATGTGTCTAAAAATAGAAAAACAATATTCTGTTTTATCGTTAATGTCCTATAACATAATCTTCCTGTGCCAGAATAATGCACTTGAACGCATCAAAGCTTTGTGATTGGCCGGCGTGACCCCATGTGTCGGGGCGTGGCTGGTGGGCAGTGGGCACTATTTAGCTGACGTTGTCCGTGTCAACAGGAGTGACAGTCCGCACACACACAAGACCGCAATTATGGCAGAAGCAAAAAAGCCCAAAATATATAATTTTCACTCCGAGTGGGAGGATGATTATTTTTGTATCTATTCCAATTCAAAGTCCATCTGTCTCATCTGCAATGCGAGCGTGGCTTTATCGAAGAAGGGTCATTTAGGAGCGGCATTTCAAAACAGTGCACAAACGCTACGAGACGGAATTCCCTCCTAATTCTGCTCTACGCTCCCAAAAGGTGAGGGACCTGAAAGGACAGCTAAATGCACAGCAGTCCATTTTCACCAGGCCCAACAACAAGAGCAAGGCTGCTACCATGAAGTCTTTCAAAGACGGCGAAGTTGTGAACGAAGCATTCCTGGAGGCTGCCGACGCGCTTTTTGGGGACAGTAAAAATAACAGTAGCATTTCAACAGGTTTTTGATATAATACAAACTCAAGTTAGATACCGTTATTAATCAGCTGTAAGTTTTAGTTTGTTTGAACTTATTAATTATAATTATGGTACAAAATGGTATAAGAATGCAAACTTAAAGTGGACCTATCATGCTATATTTAAATGATATATTGTAGGGCCATACCTATATAAGGTATATTTATACGTTTCTGTTTTCAAAATACCAAACAGATCATGCATTTTAGCCATGCCTCATTTCGCTCTATGTGCTGTTTGCTGTCTACGGGTCTGATTCTGCTGACCACGCCCCCCTGCAGGAGAGGTGAGACATGCTCTGATCAGCTGCTGGGCTGTCAGAAGAGGGGGAGAAAAAGAGATCTCCGTCCTCCGTGTTTTATTCAACCCGGTATCACGGCAAGACGTGAACATGTGACGATCTACCATGCTGGGAGACGTGAATATGTCACGGTTTCGTCCCTTCAAACGTGACAGTTACACGGTATTGTTAACATGGCCCAACCAGTGGAGAAATACCCGGAAGTGCCTACCGCGCCTATTGGTCGGTTTTTATTGTCAAAATTAGATGTTTTTAATTAATTTTTTAATCGTCGCACTCGATTTAGCCGATGTTCTTGTTGCCCTAGCTGGTCGACACCTCTTTTAGCAGAAACAAAGGCTACATTAATGTATTAAATCGATGTTAATCCATGTGTGTGGAGGTGTGGATGTGGAATTAACGGACGTGACGTTGTGCGATTGCGTTGCCAGGCAACACAATTTACAAACTCTTCAACTACAACCCTAATTATATTTTAAAACATTTTAGAAGGCCTCACGAAATACTTTAATGTAAATTAAAATGTAAATGTGAAGGGATGTGTGTAATGTGGTGATTGACATTATTCACCCACGGATCTATGGGTTGGGGGTATTGTTCCGCACGGACATTTTAGTTAACCGGACTCCTGTTGATGTGAAACCCGAAAACATTTTTTTTAAATAAAATAATACTTTATTCCGAGTTTGCTTGCTTTTCTCTTTGGAGGTCATCACATAACGGCATTGTAATACACGGTTCGGCTGCATTAAATATGACATATCTGCCGTAGTTCTGTATTTATAGAGCCCTGATGAGAAGACTTCCGGACAAACAGGAAGCACTGCGGCCAAAACTGAAAACGTGACGTGGATCATAAATATATCAGCAATTAAACAACATCTTACATTTCTTTTCACACAATACGTCTCCTTGCAGTATCAATACTAATTCGGCTGACTTTTATATTTGATCCAATTGGTAGATAGGTTATATTTACACCATGACGGTGCATAATAGAGTCGTTATTCATTTGTTTTAAAGCTCAATAAATAACAAAGAAGACCTTTGACCGGCACTTTTCTAATTTTGTCCGGAAGATTTAAACTTTAACGGACATCTTGACCGGCGAAAGTAACTGAAACTGAAACTCTGCCGCACGGTCCCCTCGTTCCTTGGAAGAGGCGGAGAGGTGGGTGTTTGTCATCTGCTGGTGGACTAACCGGAGAGAATTACAGTGCTTGCCTCGGGGAGGGAGAAAGAAAGCCACAGCGGAGAATAAACAGAAGGGTAACCATGGTAACTATGGGCGGGAAGTCTTCTTCGCTGCTTTTGTGGCAGACTACAACGCCACTTACAGGCCTGGCATATGTACTACAGCGTCTCCAGCGCTTTCGAACGTTAATGGCCGTGGCTGTCTCCTCCTGATTGGTGGAGTTGGCCCAATAGCCGTAGCGCCACCGTCCTGACGTCAGGACAGTGTTCAAATCTGGATCAGATCCGTTGCAGCCCCTTTTTTAGAGATTTGGGTATAGAGGAAAATAGAGAGGGTTGTGTTTTCTGACACATATTCATGTATAAAAGACGTACACAAGTGCATTTTGCATGATAGGTCCCCTTTAAATTGATTATAGTCTATTATCAATTCAGGTTAAGAAACTAGTGTTGCTTGCATCCTATTTTAAAGGCATTTCTTTTTATACTCTACTAAAATGCAACAAAAAAAGGGTTTGATTCTATTAATTTAGTCTTTTTTATTGCAGTTTGGCAGCAGAGTCCTGTGTAGCTTCAGATCTGAGTTGTCTTATTAGTAAGCCTAATTTATACTTTTGTAGCAACACTATTTTTATATAATGGCAAAGAAAGGGTTCAGAGTCTTTTCTTTTTTTCCTGTATCATATGTGGCAGCACTGTTCAATGTTTCTTGAAACCATTACCCACTGTAGTTTGTGACGTGTGAATAAACTCCCAACTCTGTATCAACAACACTGTTGTGTAACTTCAGTTAAATACTTGTGTGTGTGTAGATTAGAAAGAGGTAAGATAAAGGATCTGCAGTATTTTATGAAGTATTAATCGTACAAAGGTCAGTTTTATACAAGTAGAAGTGTGTATTTACCTGGTAGTAGGCTGTCAGTAATGGCTACGCCTCTCTATTTGGACTGGTAGATCTCGGCAGACTGGCAACTTTAAAAGTAGCTCTCGGTTCAAAAAAGGTTGGGCACCCCTGCTTTAGTGGATAACGTCACTGAGTTCATGCCCAGGATGCTAACTGCAGTTCACTTAACGCCCACCGACGTCGCTAAGAACCAGGATTTCCTGAAGGTTACACAGAAGCTTCAACACAGACAACAACTGACTCAAATGGCTTTTAGTCCGTTTTAAATTCTTACCCCCCATCAGCAGATTGAGGCTCCATTGAGCGGTCCCTCTTTGAGGAAACACAGCGGCACTCAGGTTCAGGTTCAGGTCCAGGTCCAGGTCCAGGTTACACCTGGAATAAATTCACACCATAGTCTGTAAATATAAAGGGACACACACACACACACACACACACACACACACACACACACACACACACACACACACACACACACACACACACACATACACACACACACACACACCACCCCACTCCACTCCACTCCACTCCACTCCACTCCACTCCACTACATGTATCTAATCCCTTTAGTTACTTCACAGATGTGGATGAATGATGTGAAATATAATCAAGTGTTAAATCAGACTTTAGTTCCACCTGGAGTAAATCCACAAGCTACCCTGCAGTATACAAAGTCCTTCAAACTAGCTGCACCTTTACCAGCTTTGAGAACACTTTCATGATCAATCATTATAAAACATATCATATATATTATTCTGAAATGGACCAATCTGCACAATGACTACTTTTACTGTCGCTACTTTCACTATATTTTGATGCTAAGTGCTTTCTCGTTGTCTTTCTTTGGGGATCACTCTTCACTTCTACCGGACTCTGAAAGCTTTCTGAAATATTCCTCTTGTTCCAGTCACAGTTAGAGCTAGTGCAATAATGCATCCTGTTAGCTTGTTAGCTTGTTAGCTGCAGCTGAATCCTCAGAGAGCTTTAGACCTTCATCTGCAGACAAACACAGAGCATCAGTCACTGAGAGCTGCAGGAAGTGTTCATATCTGTGCACGTGAACACCTGAAGTTCAGGCTGAAAGTAACAATGCGTCACATTTACTTATCATTTCATTCTATTCTTCACTCTCATTCATGGATTTGAGTTGGATCATTTTATTCCATGTTTACTGATCTAGTGTTTTTATTTCATGATCATTAACTTCTTGTCCTGTTAGCTTTAGATTTTAATTTATTTCTTATTGATCTATTTAGTTTTCCGGCTCAATCCCCACTATCCCTTCTCTCTGTTTATTTCTAAGCATGAAAACAAAGCAATCTGTAAGACATGGCTTCAAATGTTTTATTGATTCCTATTTATCAATACATTTATTCATTTGTATATTTGTATAGTTATGTGTTTACTTATTATTCATCTATGCATCATTTTCATTCTCTCATTATTATTTATATAATATTTATATTCTTCAATTTATGTAATTTTTATAACTGTTTCATTTATTGTGAGCTCTTTTTATCACTACTCCTGTTGACTCTATTTATTAATTGTATTATTATTTATTACATTCCCTTTTATTTTAGTTCATCATTTGATTTTTTGTCAACGTTTTTACTCATCTTTATTCATGAGAGTACCACCTACGTCACTTCCGGGCAAAAAGTACGGCTCCGCCCACTTTTTGGGGAAAACAAAGCTGTAAGTTGAATGGCGGTCAATACAAATTCTGAAGTTTTTGCCAATCCGATCAGAAATGTAAGAAAACCGTGGATTTTTGGATCTTCAGAGAGCCCGGTTACGATGGCCAGACAAGCAAACAATTACATTAACTCATTTGAAATCGACCAGCGGGCTCGATATATGGTTAAATATAGCAATAATCGATCTATGTCCATAGATTAGAGTAGCATCTACGTCACTTCCGGGCGAAAATTACGGCCCCGCCCACTTTTGGGGAAACCAACGCTGTCATTTGAATGGCGATCGAGCCTGAAGCCACAGAGCTCTTCTGTTACTGTCCTTTCTTCTTAGAGGAAGTTCAGAAACACTGAACTCTGGATTTGTTTTAATGTTTGAGGTGCAATAAACGACACAGCAGCTTGTTGGCATGATACAACTATTATTTTCCGCCTCGCTCATGAGAGTAACAGCTGGAGAAATTACGGCCTGGCCTACTGATTTTAATTTAACCATATATTGAGCCCGATCGTCGATTTCCAATGATTTAATGTAGTTGTTTGCCTGACTGGCCATCGTAATCGGGCTCTTTGAAGATCAGAAAATCCACAGTGTTCAAAAAATTCTGAATGTCAGAATGTGTATTGACCGCCATTCAAATGACAGCGTTGTTTTCCCCCAAAAGTGGGCGGGGCCGTAATTTTCGCCCGAAAGTGACGTAGGTTTTACTCTCATCTGTACTTCCACATATATTATGTAAATGTTTTTACATTTGACCTTTTATTGTATTTCCAAATGTTCCTTTTTTTCTTAATTTAATTAATATATATTTGTATTTCATGCTCTTGAACTATTATCTCTTTACTTTGGTTTGTAACGTTTTTTATGAAACAGTTCACCTGTGAGTGAGGCTGTGGGATGTGTCGCCCTCTGGTGGCTGACGGAGGAACATTAGTGTTGTTTTCTTTAATTACTAATGTTTACATTTCCGCATTTTTATTTTCGTTAATTCATTCCTCTACATTAATTCATCTTAATTCTCACATGTATTTATTATTATAATATATTCCAATTTATATTTCCAAATGTATTTGTTATTTTTATATTTTACATTTTAAAATGTTTTTCTTTAAATATACTTCGCTGGTCATGTGACGAGGGACAACCAATCACAGTGGAGATATCTCAATATATACACACACACACACACACACATACGTTATTATTGTATTTTAAAAAGTTCTTATTTTATTAAATTCCGCTTCATGTACTTGTATATAGTATTTTTATTGTTTTTATTTAATTAAGATATTTTTTAATTTCCTGCTCTTCAACTCTTACTTTGATTTGTCATGTTTCATTTTTGTATTTTGATTTATTTTATTAAACAGTTCACCAGTGAGTAAGGCTGTGGGATGTGTCGCCCTCTGGAGGCTGAGGGAGGAACATTACCACTTTTGAAATGTTTATCTTTAAATACTTTGCTGGTCATGTGACGAGGAACCACAATAGAGTGTATAACGGTAACAACCACACCCACACGCAGGCACACACACACACACACACACACACACACACACACACACACTTACAGTACTTAGGACAGGAATAAAGAGAGAGGGTCTCTGAGTTATTCCCTGAGTAATGATTGATAATAATAATAGTTTGTGTGTGCAGGCGTTTTGAGGTAAAAACAGGAAGAGAGTTAAAGTCTGTCTCTGAGTCTCTGAAAGTTAAACTAAAGAGTTGTTCTTATTCTCTGACCAATGATTGATAATCAGAGTTGTCTCTAAAAGCTCTGAAGTCACAAAGAGTTACAAACCTGTAGAGAGAAGAGGAAGAAGTAGAAGAAGGTGCGACACGACCGACGAGCACGAAGTGAAGATAAAATTGACCTTTATTAACTTCATTCATTATTAACCGAACAGCGAAGAGGAAGTACTTCAAAATAAGAGCACTTACATAACATTGTATTTATATTACTTCTACTTTTACTCAAGCACAAGATCTGAGTATAGTAAGTCATATTATTGAGATTATAAATCATATTAATGTGATTATAAATCATATTGTGAGATGTCATATTAATGATTTACAGGGTAGATATGTTCTTTTCTGTGGTGGAAATGGTCTTCCCTAATCTCAGGTCTAAATCTCTGCAGTGTGTAGTTTCAGGGTGTATTGTGTGTGAACAGTGGCGGCGCCAGAGTATTTTTGTTGGGTAATCTATGGTAGGGCTAACCCATACAGTGGTGGGGCTCAAGTCAGTATTTGCAATGTAATTACATACACGCTATATCGCCCCCCTTGACAGTGAAACGCCACGCGTGAGGTTTAGATTATTTCCCTGTCTCAATCCAAATTGAACTGCATGAAATAAAAAGGCACATTTGTCTTGTAGTAAATAAAAAGGGCGACCTGGAGTCATTCCTGCAATTTCCCCACAGGTGAAAGAGTTGACATGCTGAAAACCCAACCCCTGCAGGGGGGTCTGGGGGGATTCTCCCCCAGGAGAATATACCGCACTCACTAACGATGTCACAACAATCGATGTTCAGGTTTTCATTGTAAAGAGTAAGGCCCCGGCTCCACGAGGACAAATACGGTAAAATGCATCGGAGTAACGCAAATGCAACCGCAAAAAACCTTCCGTCCCCACACAATATACACCGGATTGTGTCAAGCTCCACGAGACGGCTCCGTTTACATCCAAACGCTGGAAAAGCTGCAGTACATATGCCGAACCTGTACGTGGCGCTGTAACTTCCTCCACAAAAGCAGCAACTTCCTCCACAAAAGCAGCGAAGAAGAATGGTTGTCATGGCTGCACTTCTGTGTATTCTCCGCGGTGGGGGCCGACAGAACCGGGCAGAGTTTTTCGCCGGTCAACGTGTGTTAAAGTTTAAATCTTCCGGACAAAATTATAAAAGTGCCGGTCAAAGGTCTTCATTGTTATTTATTGAGCTTTAAAACAAATGAATAACGACGATATAATGATATATAATCATCAAATACACTGAGCCTGTCTCTTTTTCCTCTCTTCTGACAGCGTCAGTGTCTGTCTCATGCAGCAGCTGATCCTGTAATGAGTGAGCCGACAGTCAAAATAAACATATTTATAACTAGTTTAGTTTGAGAGGTAATTAAAATAGCTAAGGGTGATGATCTGACTTGAAGTGTGTGTTTTGCTCCCGCTGCATCACAGCGGCAGGAGCTGCGTGTCTCCGTCCTGTCAGATTAGACTTCACTCGCGTTTATGTCCATATCGAGATAAAGATAAATAATCTGAATTCAAGGAGGAGCTCCTGTAGATGTTGCACAAAGAACTGTAGCATGGTCAGTAGCGACTGGAGCACGATAGCAACCCTGCGGGGGAGAGGCGGGGAGAAGCGGGGCTATGAAAACGAATGACCGTATAGGCGACTCCACGGCCCCGTTGGACCCCCCAGAGCGCTCCGTTCCCAGATCTATCCACCTTTGGACCCGTTGTCGTTTGCGGGGTCTGTTTCTACGTTTCCCTTACGGCGTCGTCGAGCTTAGAGGGCTATACGCATGAGAAATATGCGGATTCAACCCGTTTTCGTCCTCGTGGAGCCGGGGCCTAAGACGAGTCATCCTCACAGCAGGTGCCGCCTTAGAGAGACGAGAGTGTGTTTAATGTTGTGCCCCGCTGAGCTCATTCCCTCTGCGGGACG